CGTGAAATTCTATCGTTCTCGGTCAAATTTCGTATCTGTATCTGCTAACTGTTTTTATGTATTTTGCCTGCTTGGTTTTTGGGAAAGTGCGTCACGGCGAGCTCTTGCATGCGTTTGTGTAGATGTATGTTTACTTCTGTCCCCTTTTTTGGATAACTCAATTCGAGAACTGTGGAAACTAGAAAGCTGATTTTTGTGAGCATAATTTCTTAACCGTGAAAAGCAGCAACTTGAAATCAACTTCCAAATTTACAGGCCTCAAACATAAATTCTTGCCAGTTATACGTTTGCAGAAAAGAATTGACTAGAACGCGCAGGACTGTAGCTTCAGTTGTCCACAAGAAAGGGCGTTCCTCTGTTATGCATGAGCATGCATATGCGGCATGTTTAAGGCTGGATTGGGACTGTAAATTTCAGGACAGATAGGAATTATTAGAATTTGCATTTCGGTTATTTAGTACCGTTTGGCATTGCAAAATCCCATTCACTGAATGTCCAACGCAAAAGGCGAGTTGTGGGATTCGGAGGAGGACGAATCAAAATATTCAGTTCAGCCATTTTCTTGCTTTTGTAATTTTCGAACCACAGAATCACTAGGAAGACAAGAATCGATTCCAAGGCAAGCATCCATTAAATCAGCCATAGAAATCTTTCAAGGTCATCTGGGTTATCAGTTTGGAGTATTTGCCTCCAGAATCACTGAAGAAGGCGATTGCGGGTGGACTAGTAGTGCACTAATTATGCTGCCAATTAGCTGCTATTTTACATGATCGTAAGGACTGTCAGCGTAGAATCCAACTGTGTGCGGAGAAATTTGGCCTAGCCACATAACGAGTTTGCCCTGTTAGAGTTCGTCTGTAACAGGTTACTCTGTTTGAGGCTTGCTCACTTTGAGATCTTCCGAGTGCTCGGTGTTGCCTAGAGGATGAAGAGAGAAGAGGGTAACAACCATCACGCGCCACTTCTTCGCATTTTATGCTGTCAAAATGATCGCCATTCGTTTTTTCCGCGTGAACGACTTGAACGTGTCCAGCTGCTGGACACGCCACTGGGCATGCTCGCCCTCCTTGTCAGGTGTGTTACATATTTGCATATAACATTCCACTGATCACCTTTTGTTGTGCGCATGGCCACTAAAAGACTTTGCAAGCATTGTCTTCTCAGTTACAGCTGGTGTTCGCTGTGTTGCTTTCTCCGATAGTTTCACTGTGTAGCTGTACGCCGTTGCTTCAAAGACGCATTTTTTGCATGCAAAGTAAGACTTTTCGAGAAAAGGAAAATAACTTTTACTACTCCAGTCATCGATGCATCCAGTTTCTGTCAAAAGTGTAATGGAACGCTCAAATTTTGATTGCCCTAACAAAACAGTGTGCTCGTTTTTGTTTTCTTTTACTTGAATCCGGATCGGGTTTTTAGCTCCTTAACACATTTCGCACCTCCCAACACTATTTTTAAGCTCATACTAAGCAGTACTATAGCTCTTTGATTATATTTTGTCTTCCACCTCCTCGTTAAATTTGGCGTCCCTTGACTAAAATTTTGTGCTTTTTTCGAACAATTCTGACTTCTCTTGAGAGCAAAAAGAGAAAGGCTGACTTTTTTTTTTCAGTGAATGCGTTACCCTCTTATACCATGTTTTTCTTATTGGTCACTGAATTTCTATCCATTCATATTTTCCCGCATTTTATTAGTTTGAATACGTGCCACTTCCCAACCTTATCAGTTGCACTTTGTTTTTTGTTTTACACATTTCAATTAATAGTAGCCCTTCCTGCATTTGACTCTCGATGAGGATTGGATGGCTCTGAAGTGACCCAATCGATAACATTTTACCAGCACCGACAACCGGCTGATTGGCCTTTTCCTCTTTCGAGGGATGCGTGAGAAATAAGCTGGAAGCGATTTGATCCCCCAAGTCACTGCTAGTGCCGATTACTGCTGAAACAAATCTGCCACTCGTAAAAGGCTGTTGAAAAAGTTCTCCTGTTAACAGATTTGAAATAGTGTCTCGAAAGTGAGCGTTGATGCCACTTTGCATTACGCTTGCTTCCCCCTACTCCCTCTCCCGATCCCACCGGCGGATAGTGTCGTCGAAGAAATTCCTGTGGTTTTAGATTGACTGCATGGTGAAGCTTGCTGAGTTCAAAGACTTTGGAGCTTTGAAGCTTCGGAAGTGTCCTAGCGCTTTCTTCAGAAAGCGATCAGTTAATAACTTTTTTCTTGCAAACGTGATGTGCCAAGCTTGCTACGTTTGGGTGTGCCGTACGCTCGATACGCGTCGGGGCGGTACAAGCTATAATCAGGTTTACCGATTTAAAAATATTTCAGGATGCCAGCAGCGGCACCAGCTTTCAACAGGATACTGGACCATCTTGCGCGGCGCCAGCTTCTGCTGGATTTTCAATTTGGCGCAGCTGGAAGTAGTTATGAGGCGATCCGGAATATTGGTGCCGGCGCTTTTGGCATTGTTTGCGAAGCAGTGGAAGCAACTTCTGGAACAAAAGTTCGTTTTTGTTATTTCCCACTTTGAATGGCTTAAAATTTTCACCGTTTGTTGAGCTTCTGAAAACTGGCCCCACCACTCGGGCCACCTTCGCGTACCATAAACAGTTCAGCCAGCATGACACAACTACTTTCGCAAACCAGCTGAGCCGTTTCTTTCACCAGCTTCGCCATACTACCGTCGTAAAAATGTCGTAAAGTCCACCTTTCCAGTTTGTGTCCAGCGTCTTTTCTACTCAATCACATCACAGAAGCATGCGAAAAGACTGTTTTCAGTGCGTCGTCGGATCAATTGTTGCTTGTTAATGTAACTAGCGATATTTGATCACCGGAGTCTAGTATTCTTGCAAGTTTTGGCACGATTAACTGCTGACTTATCATCTACCAAAGTTGATTGCTGTTGTGAAGAAGTTTTGCGCCGTTGATAGTTGAAGTGAATGGTCACACCAGCGACGGATGAAATGCAACGCGTCTAGTATCTTTCTTTCTCGAAGGAAGCGAGGAAGCGAACGCTGGTCAGCAGCTGACTGGCCATTAGAGATGGTACAGCCTTGAACTGCGCATATGTGCGCAGCGAAGAGACGATAGCTGCACAAAGTTAGCGCATTCCGCTTAAAGAACTTGAGCATCAACGCAGACCTTTTGCAACAGCACTAGCAGTCTTTTGCTACTGTGCCATTATCAGTAAAAGAGTACCACATTTGACGAGGAAACTATTGGGAACCAGAGGCAGCGTCCCGAATCACTAAGCGAAGTCACGAAAACTAATTAGAATTCCTACAGAGCGAACTGATCCGAGAAGTTTTTCGACGCGAGCAATTATAGCATGTCGGTGACAGCATGCTAATAGTCGGGGCAGTCGCATCCGAGCAATATGGACAACTCTAAACCGGTTGCACGGATAGTCTTGCTACCGGTCCTGTATGAATTTTATTGCTTAACACCTTTCCCATACTGAAAATGACTTTTCCATATGTATTATCACAATGCAGATGTGTTTTTCTGTGTAAAGCGCCCACCTTATTCAGGTTGCTATCAAAAAAATTGGCCACGCATCGGCGACGCCAACTTTGGCTAGGCGTACATTACGCGAAATTCGAGTGCTACGTTACATTGCTCACGACAATATTGTTGGTCTCAGGGATATATTTCGAACGCCCGGAAATTTAGGTATTTTTTTTTTTTTTCTTTCCACATTAATCTGCTATGTTTCCGAAGAAATGCTGCAGTCCGCGGCCCCTGCTTTGATATAATTGCCACCACATCTTCAGCATTAAGGACATTCATCGGGAACACTGGAGCTAGCTGGGGTGGAATTCGCACATCAAGTGCTGCCATGCCAGAATCGTTCTATGGAGCTTTTGTAGCTTCAGCTTTAACCAGCCGCATCTACCAAGAAGTTTTATGCGGGAGCTCAAAACTGCAGCTGTTGGCCGTTTATGTTGGCCAGCTTTGCGCAGTGACTGAGCAGGGCAATCCCTTCGATTGTAGTACTTAGTTTGAGCAAGAAGCAGAAGGGAGATGAACTTGAAATGCTACAGATACAGAAGTTAGCAGCAAAATAGACATACCTGGGATTCTAGGTTTACAGAACTGATTTTTTGTTCTTCTGATTTCTTATTCGCTTTAAATTTTCAAATACGAATAAGAGACCACCATCGGACGCAGTTAATTTGAAGTACGCAGAGTACCTTTTCAGGATTAAATGTTTACCTCGTGATGGACTTAATGGAGGGTAATCTGCATCATATAATTTATGGTGGCGGACCAATGGAGGATGATCTTATCGCGCATTTTCTGTATCAAATATTACGCGGTCTCAGGGTGTGCATTTTCCACTAAAAAGTATAATGGCAAATCAGTAAAAAAAGACAGGCGCTAGAACTGTCGTTCGAATCTGCAGACTAAAAACCATTCCATCAGTGATTCACCGAATCATTTCAATGGACTATTTGACATCTTCAGTTTGCGAGTTAAGTTTTTAGTAGAGAGTACCATCGATTGCTTGCTAGTGGTCAGTTGCTGTTTGCGGGAACTGCCATCAGGTGCACCATCTTTGGAGGCTTGAATTTTTCATAATTGTTTTGATTTTATTGCTCAGGGTTCTGATTTTGCAGCTGCTATCTAAAGGGGAATCAGATGAATTTATGACAGTTCTGTGAGTTGAGATCTTTGGGAGTTTTAAAAAGCTGAGCAGGTCGAGCTGTGCATTAAAACTGAGCTGTTGTGAATTTCAGTACATACACACTGCCGGTATTGCTCATAGGGATCTGAAACCGTCAAATCTGCTTGTGAATAGCGACTGTCATCTGCGTATTGCGGATTTCGGTATGGCCAAATTGGCAATGAAGGATCATGTTGAGGAGGCTGAAGAGCATTGCTTCTACATGACCCAGCATATCGCCACTCTTCCGTATCGGTAAAGCTTCTTTGTATTCATCGGTTTTGCCAATAAATGGACGCTGCTAACAGAGCGTCCTCATGCGCCCCGCTTCCGAACGCCTCTTTTTGGGAGAAGTGACATACGGAAGGGGACTTCGTCTTGAAATTCGTGCAAATTCGAAATCAGTTGCTGTGGTGAGCTGTGTGTATCATACGATAGAAATTTTTTTATTTCTTCAGGTCTTTTAATTTTTCCAATTACTCGGTCACATTTTTATGCATTTTTGCCGTGCAGTGCTAGGACACTGCAACAGATAGCAACTCAGGCTAGTACGCCCCGGGCTTGCCGATGCGACCATGCGTTTTTGCAATAAACTCGCGGGTCGTTAATAGCAGGAGTAATCTCTGCGCTGCAGCCAAACACTTAGGCTCATATTGGCCGTGTTTTGGTTTCTTCCGGCATGCAGCAGAATGAGCATTGGTTGGGATGAAG